TAAAAAGATCAATGTTTAAGGTTAACAAACATTTACTTCTAAACAGAGAAATGCTGCATTGCCTTTGCGGTGCGGACTAGAACATTTCCAGAATGTTCACCTAATAAACCCTGAGAATGATGTTAACCAAGTCATTCAACTCATGCTTCTCAGCAAAACAAGTAAGACCAAGGTATGGGGAAGAAGAGGGGCTCAGGGTGGGACGCCACCAGCCCACACCCCACAGGGGGAAACTCGTAACCTCTCTGATCCTCCAGTTCCCGTCTATAAAATGAGAATAAATGCAGCATCGGGAATGGTGGCTGTAAGGACGAGAAACCAGACCCAGACAAAGGGCCTAAGGTGAAATTCGATCAGGCACCAGTCCCATAGGTTCTTCCTCTGAACTGTTTCTCTAAATCTGCCCTGAGCCGCATTCCCACAGCCACTGCTTGGGCTTAGCGTCGTCAACCCTCAGATGCACCACGGCAGCACCTAACAATGGGGCTCGCTCCTGCCTGCATTTCTACCCCTCTGAAAGATGTCTGATTTATTCTTTAAGTTTCAAAGTACTACAAAGCCACAGCAATTCAGACAGTGTGGTACTGATGGAGGATAAACAAACAGATCAAGGGAATAGATCAGAGAGCTCAGAAATGGACCCACACATAATTTTCAACAAAAGGACCAAAATAATTAAGTGGAGAAAGGAGAGTCTCTTTGCTGGAAAAACTGAACATCCACAAGGAAAATAACATCTCAATACCTACCTCACACCATACACAAACTAATGTGAGATGGATGATAGACCTAAACATAAAAGCAAGAAGTATAAAGCTCTAGAAAAATAAACAATCCTAGAAGAATATCTTTGTGACCTTACAGTAGAAAACCATTTCTCAGAATACAAAAAGCACTACCTACAGAAGCAAAATAATGGTAAATCAGACTTCGTTAAAATTACAAACTTCTGCTGATCAAAAGGCAATATTAAGAAAATAAATAAGTACACAGAGGCTGGGAGGCAATATTCACAACACATACGTACATATAACACAAAGGTGTTGTATCCAGACTATATAGATCTCTACAACCCAACAATTAAAAAGACAAGTGTTTAAATAAGGCAAACGACTTAGACATTTCTCCAAAGATTATATACAAATGGCCAAAAAGCTTAAGAAGAGGTACTCAACACCTCTGGTCATCAGGGAAATGCAAACTAGATGAGACCACTGCAGATGGTCTACAACAGATCAAAGGAAAAAGACTGACTACACCGAATGTTGGTGAAGATATGCAACAAGTGGAACTCTCTCAAACTGCTCATGGGGTGTAAAATGGTACAACCCCTCTGGAAAGCTACTTGGAAGTTTGTTAAAAAGTTGAATCTACCTCTAACCTACAACCCAGCCATTCCATTACCCAGGAGAAATGTAAACACTTGTCTACAAAAACCTTGTACAAGAATGTTCATCGCTGCTTTATTTACAATAACCAAAAATTGAAAACAAGCCTAGGTGGTTACCATACAAACAAACTGTGGCACATGCATCCAATGGAACACTACTAGGCAATAAAAAGAAACAAAATACCAAGTCTCAAAATTGTTACAGTAAGTGAAAGAAGCCAGATACAAAAGAACTATATCATGTCCTACCAAAGGCACAATCTATGGTGACAGAGCTCAGACTAGTGAGGGTGAAGGACAGGGGCTGGGTGGGAAGGGGCAAGAGAGACCTTGCTGGGATGATGCAAAGTTTTACCTGTTATTAGGGGTGAGGGTTACAGGGGTGGTCAAACCTTAAACTTAAGGTCTGTGCATTTCACTATACATAAATTACACCTCAAAAAAACTTGTCTTCAAGCAGCTTCTGAACAGCAGGCCTTGTTAGCCTCCCATTCTTGAAAGTTTTCATAATAAAGTCCCAATAGCTTCCCATTGTTCCAAAGACCCTTTGCCACAGCCCTCCTCCACACCTCGACTGCTGCTCCGGCTTCAGCACTCCCCAAATCACACAGAACACAACTATGGGTGTGTCACACCTGCGCCTCTGCACCACCGACCCCTCTGCAGAGTACCTCTGCTTGCTCGGCAAGTTCTGGCTCAGGCACCTCCTCTTTCAGGAAACCCTCCCAGAATCCCCTGGCTGGGCTAGGTGCACCCCCGCCTCCGAAGCCTTCGATTCTCAGAGCTTATTTCCATCAGAGCATCTGGCACCATCTCCTGAAGGATAGGTTTTCCACTGCTAGGACTGCATGAGGTCCTCAAGAGGAAACAGCAAGTCATTCCTGACTTTGCATTCCCAGTTCCCGGCACAAGATTTTACACAAACATTTGGGTGAACCATAGAATCTGCTTTGAAGTGAAAGAGAAAGAGAGGAGGGGGTGAAGAGGAAGAGGGAGAGGGAAGAAGGAAGGAAGGAAGGAAGGAAGGAAGGAAACCTCCTATGGAACAGAGAAGTGGTGGTGGCCCCTGAAGAAAGACGTGTAGAGAGTATTTAACAGCAAGAAGGAAGCCAGCGAGGGCCCTTGGGGCTGACTTACAAGACCCTCCAGGATGCCAGGTTATCCAAGACTCTCATTTTCCAGTATGCTCCTCCCAAAGCCTCCTACTCTTTGGTTCCAGGTGCCATGGCTGACCTGGTCCTCAAATTACCTACACCCCTGGCCAGGCCATTGGCTGCCTCTGAAGCCAGGTCCCTACCCTGCCCATCCTGCCTCAGCCCAGACCCAGTTTGGGGCACGAAGTTACCAGATTCCGGAGTGCAATAATTTGCAACTCCATTTGCTACATGACTTAAAAGAAGAATCTGCTACCCACTTTAAAATCCTTTTTATGTTGATATGCCAAGTATAATCTGTTTACAAGCAGACAATTCTCTATATATTTTATGTTCCTTGAAACAAAAGGATATAACTTCAAACCTATAATAACTGTTTAATATGACTATTTGCTTCATTCTCAGATTACTTTTTTTTCTTTAAAAAAATCAATCAAAGGCTATCACACCTTTCCAATCACAATGTTTTCAAGAAGTAAGCAGATGAAAATGCACTAGGCTGTGCAGCGGAGAGACTGGGTCAGGGTGAAAGGGGTAGAAAGCAGTGCCACCAGCATCCACAGTGCACCATGCCCGGGGAGGAGGCAGGACTGTCTCCTCCTGCAGATGAAGGAATGGGTTCCAAGAGGTACATGACTTCCCTCAGGTCAGGAATCTGGTGAGTAGCAGATCTTTGGACTCAGAGCTCTGGTCATTCCACACTCCACTCCCCTCCCCTTCCCTCCCCTCCCCTGCCAAATTGTTTCAGCCCTTAAAGTTGACACCTGCCCTTGAGAAATTTCAAAGACAGAGAATGTTTAACAGGATAAACAGCTGAGAACAAAGAGAAAATTTAACTCTAGGCTAAATGCCTTCTACATAATTAAATCAGCCCCTCCTGGTGGGGAGGTTTTCAGAAACAGCATGCAGAAAACTATGGATAAAAGGAGATACAATTAAGGAGAGTCATTTTAATATATCTAATTCTTGACTGCCCTTGCCCTAGGCAGAAACTTAATTCTACTTCAGGACAGCTATCTTTGAAAAGTTGTTATGTGAATTGTAAGGGAAGGGGAGAAAAGCCACAGGGACCATTGTACAAAGTAAATGGGAGCAGGCTGGTCTCCCATTTACAGGGGTGACCATCGCAGCCGGTTTACCACCTAAAAGCTGGACCTTATAGACCATATGCCACCCCATCTTTCCATTTATTGTACCGGCTCACCTAAGTTAACCCAACAACCAAGCAAAACAGGAAACTCTTTTCAGAAATTAGCTGACCACAAGTTGACAGTGATATATTTTAAAACGTGACTTTTGCCCATTTATTACAGCTGAAAATTGAAGGAAACTACAACAAATGCCCAGGTTTCTTTTTTAAAAGCTGTTAAGTAAACTCCAGAAAAGGAGAGGTGGGCAGTCCATGCCATGTATCAGGAGTAACCCAGGGACTTGGGAGAGGGTAGGCACCAAAGAGAAAAGGCATCGTAATAGGGAAGAACAAATCTGACTCCATATTGGATCTGATCTTTTACTTTAACCATTGTATTCTGTTGTTTTTGCTACAAGTTAATCACTAAAAGAACGTTGCCTATAGCCTGAAATATACAGGATAGCCCATTCTCAAGGTTCTGATCTTTAAAGATACCACAATTTTCCATTTATATAGAGATTAAAAGTTCCTGAACAGAATAATATTTGTCTTGGAAGTTTATGGGAACACTGTGACCAGACCTACATGGACAGCTGCAAGAACAAAGGATTTCGACTCCAAGAAGTTTGCAACAACCAACCACACACCCTCCCCTCTTAGTATAAAAGAAGCCTGAATCCTAACTTGGGTATTCTTTGGAACACTAGTCCATCTTCTCGGTCTCCTGGTTTTCCAAATAAAGTCGCTATTCCTTGTCCCAACAACTCCTCTCTTGATTTAATGGCCTGCAGCACGGCAAACAGTACAAGCTTGGACTCAACAGCAGCATCATTGTCAGGAAGCATGCCCGGCGTAGTGCAGGGTTCCTGGCCCACTGCTCCGGCTCTGGACCTGCTCCGTCACTACACACACACATATGCATGCACCCAGACACACACAGGCACACACCTGCCCAAACCTGACACAACAATGGGATGATGGCAAGACCAAGGGTTGAAGGGCTCCTTACCCGTCCCTGCCTGGCATGGACGGAGGTGTGCTGTGCAAAGCCGTTGCCCTGAAGTGAAGAAGCCAAGAAAAGTGCCCCTAGGGGTTAGGGCAGTGGCACCAAACAGCCAGCAAACATCAGCTCCAAGTGTCTCCTAGCAGACCTTGGCAAGGTGGCCACTCACTGTAGCTGCTTCAGTATGAACTGGGAGTCTCAGAGACGAAGCTGGAGGGGCACCTGTGGAGGGTAAACTCTGTACACCAAGCTTGTATTTCCGTAAGGTCACTGGCTCTGCAAGGGAACCAGACTGGAAGGGGCAAAAGGTGGTCAGTTAGGGCATTCGTTCTTCCATTTAATAAATGCACCCTGAGCGCCCACTGGGGGCCAGGCACTAACCCAGGAGACGGAAGTACAAGCCACCCAGAAATCACTTGGATTTCGCCCAAGTCGGAGGAAGTTGATTTTTAAAGCCTCAGCTCTGCCATTTCTAAACTGAATGAAGTTGACCTCCCTGAACTTTTGTTCCTCATCAGTAAACGACACACAAATTAGAGCTGTCAGGAGAACTGAGCAGCAAAAAGCGTGAGGTCAGTGCCGCAGTGTGCACACTTATTGTTAATTACAGATGAAGGAGCCCCAAGCTCAACGTTAAGGGGCTTGGACCAGGTGTTCAGTGGACAGCCCGTTGTGCTCTTGCGTCCAACTGGGAGAAAGGCTGCTTCCACCGAGAAGCCAGAGACGGCTGCCTGGAGGAGGTGACATTTCAGCTTCACAATAAAGGTTGAGGGCCCACTGAGCTAGGTGGCAAGTATAGGATCAATTATCACAGGGTATTACAGCGTTACGAGTAGCAACAACTAACCCTTGGCGTTCATGTCTCCCTCTGTAGGATACAAAGCAGCATTCCTTCAGTAGCTCGTATGAATCTGGTCCCTTCAAAACATCCTGGTCAAGTACGTGGGCCTAAAGGAGCTACCCATTTCACAGAGGAGGAAACTGAGACCAAGCAAGAAGAAGGCCCAACCAGGGACCACTTGGCCTGAGAGTTGGCAGCCCTGGGATTCGAACCTCCCGCCCGCCAAGACGCCTGCGCTGGTCGCATGGCCCTGCCCGTTGCCTTGGAAACGGTGCCGCACGCGCGTACTGCTTCCCCTTGCTTGTTCTTCCGCGAGCACCCTCGTTCTTTTTTAAATAAAAACCTAAGGCGGCGGGATACTGCCAGCGACTGAACGTGCTGTCGAAGCACGCCGCTACGTCCGCTCTCCGCCCTGGGCCGCAGATCCCTCCGCCGCCCGGCGGCCCGCGCGCTTCTTCCCGACAGCAAGCTCGAAACGACTTCCCGCGCGCCGCGCCGCGCCCCTCCCCCACCTTATCCCCACCCCAACCCCCAGCCCGGCTCACCTGCCGCCCGCGTCTCCATGGCAACGCCCCCACCGCGGAGGAAAAAAAAGCCTCGGGCCCTTCCGGGCCCCCTCCCGCGCCGACCGAGAAGGCGGGGCGACTCACTGATGCTTCGCTTTTTATTTTTATTTTTTTAAGAAAAGAGCCGGCGCGGTTATGGCGAATCTGCGGCATCCAACATGGCGGATGGAGTCTTTGCCCTCCTCTTCAGGGGCGCTGACGCCGGCGTCGCGGACGTCAGCCTCGATGACCCTCCCCCAGCGCCGAGCGCGGCCAGGCTGGGCCGGGCTACTGCGCATGCTCAGATCCGCGGCTGTGCTTTGCGCCCCGTTCCGCGGATTCCGTCGCTCCGCGTTTTGATCCTCTCCTGAGAAGGAGCTCACGGGATGCCTGGAAACGGGTTGCAGGTTTGGGAGTCTCCCCAGTTCTACCCCGAACCTGCAGCTACCTGCCGGCCCATCCTTGGACCCACGCGGTGTGGAGCCACTGGGCTGGACGTGGAAGGAGGTCAGCGTTCGCGTTCCAGTTGTCAGCGCTTTAACTTGTCTTGACCTCGGTTTACTAACTTGTCGGTCGGAATGGTTACCGCCTGCCCCCTTCTCAAATGTTGCAGTTTTTCCTGAAGTGGGATGCTTTCCGCTGGGAGTACCCGACTTGATTTAGCCATAGGCAGAATTAGACAACCTGGAACCACCTTGACAGAGCAACTGCCTGCTCTTCGTCCTCCTGATCGTCTTGCAGAAAGTCTCAGTTGGGTGTGAGCACGCGTCCCTAGCACTTGCTCATCTCCCTGAACCTGGCTCACAGCCTTCCTTCTGCAGGCAACAGTATCTGGTTGAGACGTAATGACCTCATTTTCCTTTTTGGTGTTAAGGTGGTTAGTCTACCACTTCCTTCAGATCTCTGCTCAAATGACATCTAGCCGGCCCTCCTGGACCACCCCATCCAAAGTAACCCTCCTAAATCACTTTCTATTTTCTGCGTCGTATCTATTACTGCCTAACAGTAATAGATCTCGTCTTGGTCACCCCTTTGGCCTCAGAAACTGGAAGAACCTGACAGTTAATCTGTTGGACTAATTAATGAGTTGGTGTTGCTTCTATTTTTAAGTTTAGTTGTCACAATTAGTTTGTAACAAATGATACAGGTTTTCATTTATGGTAGTAATTGTATAGAGTTTTGTTTTTAAACCCAGTTTATTTACATTTTTAAAAATTCATCAACTTAAAATGGTACATCCGATGTGGTACAGAGACAAGGCAAAAAAATGTAAACGTGAACTTCAAGTGAGAAACCTGGGAAATACTGATTTACTTTTATGGTTCTCCTGAAATGCTAATCTGCCTGTTGTCTTTTCCTGGAGTAACCTCCCTACTTTGCTGCCCAACTTGAGAAATCCTCCTTCAGCGCACGTCTGGCGTTCCCACGTCCCCATTAGTCCTTCCTGCACATCGTCCCCGCGCCCATTGTGTTTATCCGTTTGCGCAGCCCTCACCCCGTGAGCTGGACCGTGTGCTTCTTGAGCAGAGAAGCCATGCAGGTCTCTTCCATCCTTGTTCCCAGCTCCCTCTGCACACTGGTGCTACTCAGTCATCCCTTCTGTTCCTGTTGTCACTTGTTTTCCAGTTAGTAAAACTCCCTTGAACACTGAGCTTTAGGATAGTCTGTCAGACTTCTGTCTTGCTCCTTAATCCTGTTCTTGGGAAATGAGTCATTGTTAAGACCCCAGTTTTACCCAGCCCATCAGATATATGTTCAGAGATAGCTCCTCCCCTGACCCCTTCATTTCATCCTCACAGCAACTGAGGAGGGGAAGTGAAATTGGACAGATAGGATTATGCTTCTTTCCTAAAAGAAAAGGAATGTTCAGAGAGGTTATGTGGCTTTCTGAGATCACACAGCAAGCCAATGAGGACCCAGGTGTGGAACTGGTATCTCCATGCCCAGAATTCTCCCCACTTTACCACAGGGCCACCTGGGATGTACCCACACTACCCACCACACCCCAGAAAGAGCCGATTCCAAGGCAATGGTAGGGTGATTGCTGCACACCCGTCACATCCTATATCCCAAAATTGGATGGCTGGGTGAAGCCCATCACCACCTTTCATTTGGAAATGAACTGCTCAAAAAGCTTCATTGATAAGCTTTCCCTTTTAGAACAATAAATATTTGCAATAACCACTATTTTGCTGTGAATCGATTTCTGTCAGGAAATTAGAGTTGTTCTGAGTTGCTGACAGTATTGGTTTTGTGCTGGCTTGCTTTTCTGGCAGCAGCATTTCAGTGTTAGTTATTGATTAGCAAATGGATTGCTCCTGGACGTTGTGAACAAAATGAATTTTGGAAATGAAGCAGTTTAAAGTTTATCTCAAAACCCAATTGCCTCAGAATATTAATAGAGTCAAATTAAAAAAGAAATTGTGGATTATGAATGGCAGCCCTGGATTAATTATTCAGATGGCTATGATTTTCTCCATTATTCCCATGGCGTTTTCTTCCTTCTCAAAGAAGAGTCACTGAGGATCTCTTGTTACAGAAAACTGTCCTGGCCACAGGCATTCAGAAAAGAGGAAGAGTCCCTGTCTATGGGACCAGATTTGCAAATGCTGGGATGAGAGCATCTGTGGCTTTGCTGACTAATTTGCACATTTCAGTTGGCAGACACCTTTACTCTTTCCATTTGTGTACTATTTCAAACTGCCTTCAATGAAGGTGGGTTTGTAGAATTAAATATAAATTGCTCAAAATTGTGTAATTAATGGTATCCTGCTTCAGCAACAGTTCCTAGAGGCAGTCAGCTTCCCAGATGGCCCTCTAGTGGCCATCAGCCTCTCAAGGCTAGCACGGGAGTGCATTTGTGCCAATAAATGTATCAACATGAAATGGTATTTGGTTATATAATAATATATTTACATAATTGAATACATTTGTGTAAATAATTTTATAATTATGTCTAATAGGTATAAGAAAAATATGCATTTACATGAAAACAATTTATATACAATAATTTTATAAGATGCTGTCTTGAAAGCAGGTTTTGGTAAAGGATACATATGAGGGACCTGAAAATAATGGGCCTTGCACACCGCAATGATACAGTCAGAGGCTGGGATGATCACAGTCTGAGTGAAGCGTCATCAAAGCTGAACAGGCACGTTGTAGAGAAAATCCATTTAAAATTGTATAAAAGAAAGGGGTGTTGTAACGTTAGAGCAGTTTGAGAACATAATTATGACCTTAGGAAGCAACGTCTTTTCCAGCTCTTTCTTTTCTGTGGCTGTTGAGTGCCTTCCCGTCACCAGCCCACCTGTGCCCTCAGCACCCACATACTGATCTCACAGTAGCACTTTTCGCTAGTGGTGTCTAGGGCTCCTTCAAAGAAGCTGAGTCCACGTCTGGGAGCAAGGGGAAATCAGGGTGGCCCGAGACATGTTGCTGTTGCCAGAAAACTAGGCTACTGCCTAAAACCCTGGGCTGTTGCTGAAAGGACAAAGGAGGCAGCTGAAAAGAAAAGAGGGCCCCTGTGGTCAGGTTGTGACAACTTGGATGTCACAAAGAGTAACTAGCTGTGCAGTTGTTGATTTACAAGAACAAGTTGAATCTGTGAATAGCCATGAGTCTTTAATGATCACAAAGGAAAAATTAATATTATGGGCAATGACAAAGCTAGTTATAATAATTCCTAAAGAAAGGATGAAAACAGGATATTTTATTAGGTAGGTAACTTTGGAGTCTAGAGGATTGTGTTTCTTACTTGAAGTTCTGTATACCTGTTTATGAAATGGTATATTTGTACAACTTGAGAAGAGCAGATAAACTTACTGTAAGTCAAAGGCTTCCAGAAAGGGTAGGAACTGTACCAAAATCAGAAAGGGCAGGTCAAAACCAGTGGTCTCATAAGTAACCAGGTAGAAGAGGGTTCAATAATTGATGTTGCCAGTTAATGGATTCGCCAGATGTCCTAGGAGAATGGCTGACAGATTAAACTGCTCTATGGCCCTGCTAATTATAATGAATGCTAAAAAGGCATAATGAAGTTAATTGTAAACTGAGGCAAAATATCATGTACCCAAAATTCAATGGACATGGAAGTAAAGACCGCAAGAACTTGTTTATAAGTCCTTTTGACTTAGCAAGTTTAACCTGATCTGAGACCAGCAATTGTCTCCTGCCATTTGAGTCACCTTGAAGGATTCAGTGTTCCCACTAAGAATCCATCAATAAGTGATCCAGAGGCTGTGATTTCCATGTGCCCAGGGAAGGAGATACTGTTTCTCTTTTGGGTCTGATATGACAATCCTGGAAAAGTACAAAAATAAGTTTTACATCACAAACAAAGAAATTGGTCAAATCAGTAGTTATATGATTTTTAAAAAGAAGCTTAATATGGGTGCAGTAAAAACATCTGTGTTGTGAAGGCATTCGAAGCATTCAGGAGAAGTTATATTAGACTCATAGTTGTGTTGAAACAGGGTAATTGGACTAAGTGTGTAAATGTTTAAGGAAATTTGTTCTGTGAGGTTTTGAGTTTATCAATTGTGTTTAAATAGTTTACCCCCCAAAAAGTTAACAGATTTATAAGTATAATAAATGTTGTGTAAACCGACCACAAGCAGTAGTAACTGGGCCATGTGAAAAAAGGGGGAGGGTGGCCTTAGATCAGCACCAAGGAGGATAAAACGGAGCCCTGCCAGAGCCCCGCGGACTGCCATCGCAGGGGCCCAGGAACAGTCATGGACGGAAGGGAGAGGGCTGGAGAGCTGGAGGCTGGATCGAGGGACGAACACTGGGGTGAACCCAGCAGGATGCGAATGTGCAAGAACTCTTCGGAGAGAGGCTGGTGGTTTGTGCGGGGTCTTGTTTTGGAGGGAGAAGAGAAGAGGAAATTGTAGAGCAGGTGGACACGTCTTCACCTGAGCCAAGCAGACCCTGCACCACACAGGGTCTTCATTGCTCTGGTAAAGGCAGACAGAAAGGAGAGGTGACTGCGGGCAGTCCTACAACGGCAGCCCCCAGTGACTCCGATAACCATGCCTCCCTGCAGTCACAGCCTTCAGGAGCCCCCCCCCCCCCGCGATGACTTTGGGGTTGGCCGTGTGACTTTCTTTGGCCAATGGGACACAAGCAGACGCCGGACCAGCACGGGCACTTTGGGTCTGGGCCTCTTGGAGCGCTACCCTTGGAAGCCAGCCACCAAGCTGGAGGGAAGCTCATGCTAGACCATCAAACACCAAGGCCACGTGACAAGAGAACCCAGAGAATAAGGGACTCTCCCCGGGCCACTCGAGTCCCAGCTTCTCCCCAGCCGACGCAGCCACATGAGTGACACTGGCTACTCCACGTGGCACTACCCAGCTGAGCCTAATGAGCCCACAGAGTTGTGAGAAATTATATATAAAATGTTGCTGATTTAACCCACTAAGTGTGGCAGGAATAGATCTCCAACATGGTACATCACCTGCGAGAAGCTGGAACTTAAGTTTCAGGGAGGATTTTGTGTCAGTTTGGAGGAAGGCGGCGTCGTTAGCTGGTTTCCCCAGAAGCAACCAGGGACTGAGATAAACAGACCTCTGGGTGGACTCCAAGCTGTCCTCCAACCGTAGGAGGTACGCTGAAGAAGAAAGGAGGCTGCAGGAGCAAGCGGCACCGAGAAGGAGCGCCCAGGGAGGGCCTGGCTGCAGGCGGCGGCGTGCAGGAAGCCCTGGAGGTGGCAAGTGAGCAGGCATTTCCCTGCTGCTTGACAACACGGGCCCAGACTTCTAGAGGCTTCCCAGCCCTTCCACGCTCATCATCTCACATAACCTTCACCACCGTCCTGGAGGGCAGGGAGGGCGTGCAGAAGCAGCACAGCAAACAGAAGTGGTTAAGTGACTTTCCTGATGGCACACAGACAACAGGCCCCTCGGGACTGGAAACAGGGCCTCATGGCAATTAGCCCAGGCCTCTCTGCAAGACCCCTCTGTCATCCACCTCAGGCTCTAAAGAATTGTCCCCGGAATAAGTGCCAAGGGATGTACGGTGGGGAGAAGCCGTTTCTCACTTGAGTCCCTGGGGAGCGTGCAGAGAGGCAGCGGGGCGGGGCGAAGCACAGCCCTGTGGTGCGTGTTTAGCCCGAAGTGTGGCATGCAGGAGAGCCTGTTGGAAAAGGTTATGTGCTGAGCCGCCTGGCCCAGGTCTTTGCTGGGAGATGCCATCTTCCACTGACTGCTGGCTTGTGTTTGAGCCCAGGGCATTCCGTGTGTCCCTGGGGGTTCCTCTGAGCATCCTGTGAACATCCTCCTGGGAGTCATGGCCCCCTCGGAGATGTGCACAAGGTCCTGGGTTCAATCCCTAGTACCTCCACTAAAAAAAAAAAATCATACATACCTTTCCAGCCCAAATCAAACCTGGTGGAGGAGGAGGACCTAGAATGGAGGGAATGAATGTTCTAGTCCATTTGCTTCTTTATAGCACAAGTAACTGCTTCACGGTCCAATAAGACTGTTTACAAAAACAGGCTGCAGGTGGGATGTGGTCCTGGGGCTGCAGTTTGCTCCCCCAATCTACTTCATGATAAGTACAATTATCAAAAATACATTTTTGTTCTTTTAGCTTTACTATGAGCAGGCTTTTGGGTACTCCTGTCTCCTGGGACTGAGAAGACAGGCTGCACCCAGCGCGGCAATGAGTCCTGAACATGGGGGCATCTGAAATGTACCTCATCTGTATATACTATTAGTGCACAATTCTGTTAACATTTTTTGAGATTTCCAGTATTAAAATGTTCTTTAAGTTTTAAATATTTTCCCTAAGGCTAATGGACTTTTGAAACTACTTGGTTCTCTTCGGTAGATACGGGCAGCCTCCTGCAATCATAGGTAGGAAGGGGGTGGTCTGTCTGTGAGGCTCTCTGGAAATCACTGCCACGTGGCCTGTACAGTGAAAGCAAGTCTCAAACGCAATTGTGCAAAGCATTTAGAAGCAAGGGGCAAACGCTTATAAGCAAGCAGACCCAGAAGCAGGCAGGTAAACACTTCCTAAAAGTCTGTGAGGTCCCGCTCTGCCCCACAGACTCTGACAGATCTTGAAAGAGTCACGTGAAGTAGGTACACCAATAATCAAGAGGCAAGGTTCAGCAAACATTCTGGTAGACTGGAAGTGAGACCCCCAGCTCTGAAACAGGACACATTCTAGTTCAGAGCAGT